GATCCCTGTGAACACGGTGACAGCAGGGGACAGATTTAATGGCAATGTCCCAGAGGTGCTGCAGAGCCACCCCAAAGTGAGACCCCCATGCCAGGGTCAGTGTGTCCCCAGTGTCACACTGTCCTTCGTGGCACCAGAGGCAGCAGGAGGGCTTCAAGCAGAGCAAGGCAGAGGTGTCACTGCCCTGCCAGCCCCATGGGGACCTTGGGGACAGCTCCAGGCTGTGTCCTCAGTGTGGCTGAGCTGAGAGGGGAGAGGAGCTGAGCTGGGCCAGGTGCTGCATCCTCCAGTTCAGCATTTCAGCCCTGCAGCCCACAGGGAGCTGCTCTTTATGTTTGAATTACTACAGGGGGAGAGATAACAACTCCATAATTAGGTTTGCACCTTTGAAATCTTATGTTTCTTTTGCAGCTTGAATATTTATGCAATCACAGAGCTTCGCATGTCCCAGTTCTCCACATTATTTATTTATGTTCAACAACGACTGCACTTGTTAAATCACAATGTTTTCAATAAAAAATACCAAAAAGGAAGAATAAAAGACTCACCTCAAGCCCAGAAATATTTTTTCTCTCCTCTCCCTCAAGCCTCAAGCCCTTACCTTGGATGCTTTCTGTTGGAAGCCCTGGGGATCTCTTAGCTCCAAACTCATGATGAGTTGTACAAACACAAATCATTTGTTCCTCTAAAGGAGAAGAAGGCTGGGCCAAAGTGGGAACTGGGGATTGCTTGCTGAAGAAATCAAGGCTAATATCAGCCTTCTGAGAACTTGGAGCCAAATTCTCATCTCTCACCTCGTCCTGGGGACCCTCAAACACCACAACACCTCAAACACACATCCTCACTCATCCACAGCCTCTCCCCCCCTGCCCACCCACGAGGGAGCAGCCAAGGCAGCACTGGGAGCATCAGGGATTGAGATTATTTCTGTTTGGAGCTGCTCTGGTCATGGATTAGGGATTAAAATAAATGTAGGTGAGGACATTGGCAGGGATTGAGATTATTTCTGTTTGGAGCTGCTCTGGTCATGGATTAGGGATTAAAATAAATGTAGGTGAGGACATTGGCACAGGTTTCTTGCTCTCGGGTATGTGGCTGCAGGAGGATGTGGCTGCCTTCAAGTGTCTCCTGTATTTATCGCTTTAATCACTTTTTTAAGCATACATGCTTTATTGTTTTATTGATTGGACTGAGCTTTGAATAATCAATGTGGCTTTAAGAATTCACTTGGAATGACAGAATTGCAATTAAGTAGAGTATGTGGAGAGAGCCTTAACCCATCTCATTAATTAATGAGGTCACTTTTTTCAAGTATTTCATGGGAGCCCTTGGGAAAAGAAGATGGCAATTTATTGTAATCCCTGGAGAGGTTTTTGTCTCCTTCCTCACGCAAAGCTATCTCAGACTCCCTGCCCTGTGCCAGTGACCTCTGCGTGTCCTCCTGCAGCTTCTTTGTGCAGAAGAGAACAGGATCAGGGTGAAAAGGAATTTCAGCCTGTCCAGATGTCAGGGATTTTTCCTTTGAGCAGCCAAACCCCTGGAGTCCACAGCTCTGGAACCAGCCCTTCCTCCTGTCCCCTGACACATCTCTGTGGCAGTGATGACCTCAAAAAGTCTCAGATGTTCTAGGTTCTGCAGCTTTAGTCACACTTCTGGAAGGAGTGCCTGGCCAGGGGGAGGCTCTGGATCCCACAGAGCAAGGCAAGGGTGGTTTGGGGCAAAATCTGCCCTGGGAAATGAAAGAATGTGGTGGTATTTGAGAGTCCCCAGGACGAGGGAAGAGATGAGAATCTTGACTCCAAGAGTTTCAGAAGGCTGATATGATATGATATGATATGATATTATATTATATTATATATTACATTAAATTACATTACATTACATTATATATTACATTACATTATTATATTATATTGATATATTAAAACTACATTAAAGAAAGAGAGAGGAGACATTAGAAGGTTAGAAAGGAATGAATAATAAAAATCTCAGACTCAGAGAGTCTGACGCAGCTGGCTGGGATTGGCCATTCATTAAAAACACTTCACATGGAACCAATCAAAGATGCAGCTGTTGGTAAACCATCTCCAGACCACATTCCACAGCCCTACCAGATAATTATTATTTATATTTCTTTTCTGAGGCCTCTCAGCTTCTCAGGAGGAAAATCCTAGTGACAGGATTTTAATAAAATATGTCAGTGCCAAGAGGATTCTGGCAGGCTGGGCAGGCAGGGCTGGGGTCAGGGCAGGGCCAGTCCTGGTTGCCAGCCTGGCTGGCACAGCTCAGCAGCTGCTCTGCTCCCTCTGCAGATGGAAAGCCAGGCACAGCACATGGAGGGCTCCTGTAGCCAGGGCACCATTTGGGAAAAGTGATTCATGCTTCTGTCTGCAAATAAACCCCTGCTCTGTCTTTGCCTGCACTCTGCAATCTGTGAGTGCCTCAGGTAGGAAGAAAACTGCTGAGAGTTCCCAGGAAGGTTTCCAGAGCAGGAGGTTTCACAGCAGTTCTGTGCTGCTGCTCCAAACAGCCCAGCCCAGCCTCATTACTCATCCTCCCCTTCCACAAACCTCGCTCCCCTCCTTCTAATAAGGAGCATAAAAAGCACTATTTTGGGCTTTTTCAGTGCATTGCTCATGATTAAAGAGATAGTTGGGAATAGTCTGTGATGTTGAGAAGTCTCTGTATGAAATATTGAGAAGTGCTTAAGAAAGCCAAGTGTGTTTGTGTGGCAGAAATGGGGCTGGCCCAGGAGTGGCAATGAGGAGGAGACAGAAAGCAGCAGAGGCTGGTGACTCATGGGGAGAAAATGGTTCAACCTGGGCCAGGCTGGGATGGGGAAAGTGTCTGGGTCAAGCTGGGCCCTGTCTGCTTTGTGAAGGGGTGGTGTTGTGACACCTTACTCTGAAAAGAGAATTAGCAGAGTACTTATTGATATAAAACAGTAATTTAACAAGGTTCGGTGTCAGGATCCACTTGATTATTTACTGGCAGAGGACAGGCTCAGGCAGAACTGTCAGGGAACCCCTGGCACGTCCCTGGGCAGGTCCTGAGTGCTGGTGGCTCCAAGCAAGGCCTCCAGAAGTGCCACCAGACACGTGGTGACAGTGAACCTTCAGATTTAGGAAAGGAAATTGGCTGCTAACAAGAGGGTTTGCACAAACTGTTTTGGAAGTGTTGCTGCTTGATTTCTGAGAACACTCAGGGATGTTC